CTTTTCTATGTCCACAGAATGAATTTTCATTTTCCTGCAGAAATAATGATGTGGTTGATTATTAGGTCTTGTCTCAGATTCCACTGGGGATATAATAATATTATATTAATCCTTTTCAAAATCGGAAAAACTCAGTTTAAAACACATGTGGCCTTAAGAATTTTTGAATAGGGGAAATTTTATCTGTACTTATGTACATTGTCAGCAGTATATGAATACAAAGCTATTTTCTTTTTTTAAATTTTATTTTTCAATTATAGTTTACTTTCAACAATGTTTTATATTTCTGTTGTACAGCATAATGGTTAGACAGTCATACTTTACATAATGATCTCAATATTTTTAGTACCCACCTGGCACTATACATAGTTATTACAGTATTATTTACTATATTTTCTACCTGTATTTCACATCTCCGTCACTGTTTTGTAACTACCAATTTGTAGTTCTTAATTCCTTCACTTTTTTTTACCCAGCCCTCCACCCCACTTCCCCTTTGTCTGTTGTTGTTTGTATTTATGAACCTGTTTCAATTTTGTTCTTTTTTTTTTTTAATATATTTTATTGATTTTTTACAGAGAGGGAGGGAGAGAGATAGAGAGTTAGAAACATCGATGAGAGAGAAACATCGATCAGCCGCCTCCTGCTCATCTCCCACTGGGGATGTGCCCCCAACCCAGGCACATGCCCCTGACCGGAATCAAACCCGGGACCTTTCAGTCCGCAGGCCGACGCTCTATCCACTGAGCCAAACCGGTTTCGGCTCAATTTTGTTCTTTAGATTCCACATATGAGCAAGATCATGTGGTATTTGAAAGTATTTTCTTAACAGTAAATTTTTTTTTAAATACATTTTATTTATTTTTTACAGAGAGGAAGGGAGAGGGATAGAGAGTTAGAAACATCGAAGAGAGAGAAACATCGATCAGCTGCCTCCTGCACACTCCCTAATGGGGATGTGCCCACAACCAAGGTACATGCCCTTGACCGGAATCGAACCTGGGACCGTTGAGTCCGCAGGCTGCTGCTCTATCCACTGAGCCAAACCAGTTAGGGCTTAACAGTAAAATTTATGAGTGTGTTAATGTCCAAGAAATGGATTAGCCAATTTACTTGAGTATTTAATTTACTTCAGTAGAGTTTTATATAGGGAACATTATTCTCAAAATAATTCAGATTTTGCTTGAAATCCCTTATGAACATTGTCTTGTTACTTGCATGTGGTCTGACATGAAGTCCTAACAGCCATTTTTTTCTGCCGATTATGGAAGGTTTCACCATTTCTTTTAGATCTTTGACTTGTACAACAAACAACAACTAAATTTCTTGCATTTTGAGCCGAAACCGGTTTGGCTCAGTGGATAGAGTGTCGGCCTGCGGACTGAAAGGTCCCAGGTTCGATTCCGGTAAAGGGCATGTACCTGGGTAAAATAAAATCAATTTCTTGCATTTTGAATATTACAGTCAGTGTAGAAAGATGCTTATAAGAGTAACCTCGAGCCCTGGTTGGTGTGGCTCACTTGGTTGAGTGTTGTCTAGTGCACTGAGAGGTTGCGATGTTAATTCCCGGTCAGGATGCGTGCCCAAGTTGGGGGCTCTATCCCCAGTAGGGGGTTTGCAGGATGCAGGTAGTTGATGTTTCTATTTCTCCCCATCTGTCTAAAATCAATAAAAACATTTAAAAAATAAAAGAGTAACCTGGAAAGTGAGACCTACTTAGGGGACATCAGTGTTAATATAGTCTTTACTATTTTTTTAAAAAAAGTGTTTTTTAATTATTTTTTATAGAGAGAGGAAGGGAGAGGAAGGAAGAGAGAGATATAAAAATTGATGGGCTACTTCCTGCACAACTCCCACCAGGGATCAAGCCCGCAACCCAGGCATGTGTTATGACTGGCAATCTGGTGGTGCATGGGATGACCCTCAACCTACTGACCCATACCAGCTAGACTAGTCTTTACTATTTAAATTACTTTTTTAGCTTGGCCACTGTTGCTCAGTGGTTTAGTGTCGATCTAGGAACCAGGAGATCACATTTCGATTCCCAGTGAGGGCAGATACCTGGGTTGCAGCCTATGCAGGAGGCAGTCGATCAATGATTCTCTCTCATCATTGATGTTTCTATTTCTCCTTCTTTCTTTCTCTCTGAAATTAAAAATATATATGTATTTTTTGTTTTTAGGTGGAGGGTATCTGTATTTGAGTTTGATGTAAATGTCAGTGTAATATTAGTCTATTACTTTACTGTTACTTTGTAGGATTTTATTTTAATTCTGTATAATAAAAGGCTAATGGGCTAATCAACCGAATGGCAGAACGACCGGTTGCTATGACTTGCACTGACCACCAGGGGGCAGATACTTAACGCAGGAGCTGCCCTGTGGTGGTCAGTGTGCTCCCACAGGGGCAGCGTAGTGGCGTGGCAGAAGTGCTAAGGATGTCCAGTGGGAGTGGGCCTAAGCCATCAGATATCCCCCCAAGGGCTCCCGGTCTGCGAGAGGGCCCAGGAGGGCTAAGGGGACCCCCACACCCCCCCAGTGCATAAATTTTGTGCCCTGGGCCTCTAGTCATATTATAACTAACTAGAGGCCCTGCGCACAGATTCGTGCATCAGGGGGGTCCCTCAGCCTGGCATGAAGCTACACGCGGCTGGGGAGGAGCCCAGGCTGGGCACCACACTGATCCTGCTCATCTCAGCCACACTCTACCTGCCTCCACTGCCACTTAGTAGCTCATTGCTGCAGAGACGGGAAAGGGTCGTGCCGCCGCAGCTGCACTCACAAGCCGTGAGCCCGGCATCTGGCATCCGGTAGTCAGCTGAGCAGTGATCCTGTTGTGGGAGCACACTGACCACCAGGGGGCAGCTCCTGCATTGAGCATCTTCCCCCTGGTGGTCGGTGAACGTCATAGCGACTTATTGTTCCGTTGCTTAGGCATACACACACACACACACACACACACACACACACACACACACACGAGGCCGGGTGCATGAAATTCCTGCACTGGGGTGGGGGTTCGTCCCTCAGCCTGGCCTGCGCCCTCTTGCAGTCTGGGACCCCTTGTTCCTTACTGCTTGCTGCTCCTTACTGCTCGGCTCGCTGCTCCTTAGTACTGCCGCGGAGGCAGGAGAGGCTCCCACCGCCGCCACTGCACTCACCAGCCGTGAACCCGGCTTCTGGCTGAGCAGCCCTCCCCCCTTGGGAGCACACTGACCACCAGGGGGCAGCTTCTGCATTGAGGGTCTGCCCCCTGGTGGCCAGTGCGCATCATAGCGACCAGTCGTTCTGGTCATTATGCCGTAAAGGTCGCTTAGGCTTTTATTTTGTGTGTGTGTGTGTGTGTGTGTGTGTGTGTATGTTAGGGGCACAAATTAGTGCACCTTGAAAAAACTGGGCTGCGAGGCTGCCATGGTCACAGGGGCGGGTCTTGGCCCATCTTCCGCACCCCAACCCAACCCCTCCTGCAGCGGCCCCTGTCTGCCGACAGCCCTGCTCCTGTCATTGTCGCTCCCACGAGCTGTTGGCACTAGCCCTGGTTGCAGCTGCTGATGGTGTGGAGCAATTCGGGCCTGCGCCAGCAGTGGGTGCAAGTGGGGCCGGCAGCGTCAGTGGGTGCTAGTGGCAGCTGCTTCCTCGATTGCCCCTGAGGAGCAGGGGGGAGGTGGAGAAGCCCTCGGTCATTTGGGACCGGCACCGGGCACCGGCAGCGGGTGCGAGCGGTGGCTCTGGCACTGGCAGTAGGTGCCAGCGGGACTGGTGCTGGTGGGAGTGTGGCGTATGGGAGCAAATAATTTTCAGTAACCACCAGAGAGAGGCTCACCCTGATGACAGCAAATGGCATCTTTTTTTTAAAAAATATATTTTATTGGTTTTTTACAGAGAGGAAGGGAGAGAGATAAGAGTTAGAAACATTGATGAGAGAGAAACATCGATCAGCTGCCTCCTGCACATCTCCTACTGGGGATGTGCCTGCAACCAAGGTACATGCCCTTGACCGGAATCAAACCTGGGACCTTTCAGTCCGCTGGCCGTCGCTCTATCCACTGAGCCAAACCGGTTTCAGCAGCAACTGGCATCTTGCCTTGTTCACCCACTCCACCATCCCGCCGTGGCCAATGCCTGCCATATTCCGCGCTCTGCTGCCCACGCCTGCCATGTTCCGCGTGTGCCCCCCGGTGGTCAGTGCACATCATAGGGACCAGTTTGCTCGCTCTGCCTTTTGGTCTATTTGCATAGTTGCCTTTTATTATATAGGATAGGATTACTAATTTAATAGTAATCCTGCACATATATGTGGTTTTATTTTTACTTTCCCCTTAATGCTTCATTATACTTGTAGGACAGAGGCTGACAAACATTTTTGGGAAAAGGGATAGATAGCAAGTACAGTTTTAGGCCTTGCAGGTCATATGGTCTGTCTTGCTATTTATCCTGAGGTAGCCATAGACAGTAAATTCTTGTTCTATGAAACTTAATTTACAAAACTGGTGTGGGCTGTCCCTTGCTACACTAGAATTTCTCAGTGGTTTGTTGAAATGGGGATGGGAGAGTTTAAGACCTCCTTCTATATGTAATAGAAATTTTGTCTAGGCAGTACAGTTCTTTGCACTGGCTTACATAGGGGGGATAGATTCTGAGTGTCTGTGGGAACTTTGCTATGGCAGTAATTGATCCCAGGCTTTTCTTTTTAAACAGCAATATAGTACGTATTTGAGTATTTGGGCTCTGAATTTTTTTTTTACTGTAAGCATTTAACGTTACTGGTTATATGTTGTTACCTTTTGGAATTAATCTAATTAAGTTACTTTATATTTTTGGTTTATTTGATTTATTAAAGATTTAGAGCAAAATAGAGGGAAGGTAAATCTGCTAAACCATTCATTGTTGACAAATTTGACAGTGTATTTTGCATAAATGATTTTTTTAAACCTGAAATAAAATACCTGATTATGACTTACAAAGCAAACATGCTGAAGTTTTTATTTAAATATCTTTTAGACATGAAGAAGAGCATCGTCGTCGTGAGGAAGAAATGATTCGACACAGAGAACAGGAGGAACTGAGGCGACAGCAAGAGGGCTTTAAGCCAAATTATATGGAAAATGTAAGTAAAATACTAGTTAATTAAAATTATTTTTTGTTGTCAGGTGGATTATGTATGTTGAGAATTCTTTAGGCATTGCTTTATATATTAATATATTTTCTAATTTTTCTAAATTTGTCATGCTTTTGTGTGTTAAATGATTTTTTTAAACCTCTTTCAGGTAGGAAATTAAAATTAGTTTCTGAAGGTATTCATTTTTTATGAAATATGTTAATTTTTTTTCAGTTTTACCTTATTTTTTAAAAATATATGTTACTAAATTAGAAGTCTTTATAAATCCATCTCCACTTGACTGATTTTCATTATTTAATGATAATAAAAATTCTTTACTTTGGAAGATTTTAGATATTGTAAAAGTAGATTCGCATGTGTTCATCACCCAAACATAATAGTTACCAACAGCTGGCTGATCTTTTTCTTCATCTTCAAGTATACCCACTTTCCCCCATTATTTTATATAAAATTCCCAACTTCAAATGATTTTACTCATCCGTATTTTAATATGTATTTTGAAATGATAAGGACTTGAAGGTATATTTTCATTAATTTTTAGAAAGAGAGAAAAATAAATTGGTTGTCTCCAGTATGGGCCCTGGCCGGGCATCGAACCTCGCAGATGACCACTGAGCCACACCTGGCCAGGGCAGGACTCTGTTTGAAAATATCCTTATGTCTTAATAATTGTTGATTCTTTTTTTTAATGTATGTTTTTATTGAATTTTGAGAGAGAGAGGAAGAGAGAGAGAGAGAGAGAGAGAGAGAGAGAGAGAGAGAGAGAGAAACATTGATGAAAGAGAAACATCATTGATCCGGCTGTCTCATGCACGCTCCATACTGGGGATCGAGCCCTCAAACTTGGCATGTGCCCTGACCAGGAATCAAGCCTGTGACCTCTTGTTTTATGGGTCTACTATGCTCAATCGCTGAACCACACTGGCAGGGCAAAAAATTGTCAATTCTTTAATATTAACTAATAAATGCCTAAATTTGCCCAGGCCTTTAAGGTTTTGGTTTTTTTTTTTTTAGACAATTGGTTTTTTAAATTGTCTGATAAATCACATCATTTTAGTTCATATGTTTTTCTCTTATTTTTATGTTTTTCCTTTTTATTTTTTTTAGTCCTCACTGGAGGATATATTTATTGATTTGAGAGAGAGAGAAACATTAGTCGCCTCTCTTATGTACCCCTGCGGGGGATTGAACTTGAGTTCTAGGTATGTGCCCTGTTCGAAATGAAGTCTGCGACCTTTTGGGTGTATGGGACTATGCCCCAACCAACAGAGCCATCCGGCCGAAGCATTTTTTTCCGAGTCTTATTGTATACATTATCTCCCATCGTGAATTTTGTTGAATGTTTTATTGCAGTGTGTTTAACAAGTTTCTTTTTTTCTGAATTTCTCATAAAGTGGAGTTAATTCCAAAGAGATGATCTGACTAGAGTGGTTATTTTGGGGAGGCAAAATGCTAGGGCAAACAAGGATACTTCAACTGCGTTAAAATTCACAAGTTCTTAATGATAAATAACAGAATCTCATTGTTTACATTATTTGAATGCCAGCTTACTTCATTCTGAAAAATATTTACTATTTTTTTTCTCTCTAGCTGTTTAAAAGCCATGGTTCTTTAATAAGTTTTTGAAGCTAAACGTATTCAAGTCATTGTTGCCTTTTTTTCTGACCTTTTTGTTCCTGTTTTTCTGACCCCAGAACATTTTTATTTTTTTAATGTTTTCATTTTATTTTATTGACTTGAGTGAGAGAGAGAGAATCATTGATTTGAGAAAGAATCATTGATTGCTTGCCTCCCATATTCATCCCTCCTGGCGATCAAACCAGCAGCTACCTGTGTGTGTGTGCCCTAACTGGGAATCGAACCAGTGACCTGATGCATAGGATGATGCTCAACTGAGCCATACCTGCCAGGTCTATCCCTAGAACATTTTTCAATTTTCTTATTTGAAAGAATGTTCACACTGTAAAATAAGTTCTGGCTTGTATAACATTAAGAAATGTTTATCTTCACTCCCACCAAGTCAATATTATTTGAAAATTATGCGTCATTTAAATTCAATTTAAAAAGTTTTTATAAGTTATATAAGCTCAGCTGGAGTGACTCAGTTGTTTGAGCATCATCCTGTTCACCAAATGTTTGCTGGTTCGATTCCTGCTCAGGGCACATAATTGGATTGGGAAGTTCGATCCCCAGTCACGGAATGTATGGGAAGCAACTGATCGATGTTTCTCTCTCCCTCTCCCTTCCTCTCTCTCAAACCAGTAAAATAATATCTATCCAAGGATAAAAAAAAATCTCTAAGATGTATCAAAGATTTATTTTTAAATTCATCACGAAATTAGAAGAGTAAGTTTTTTTAAGCATTGTAAATAGTTTTTGAGTAATTTCTAACACTTTGCAATTCTATTTTTCTCTTTGAGTGCATATTTTAAATTGTTTCAGATTTTTTTGATTGTTATATTTGATTATAAACCTGTTGGATTTATCAAGGTGAGGATATTTTCTGATGTTATAAAAGAATGTAGAATTTAAATTTTCAGGCCCATATTTTGAAAAGTAGTTGCTAGTGTTTTTCTTTTCAAATAGAGTCAGTGTATTAGGAATATTTTATTTCATTCCACTGAGGATTAGGAAATTCTTCCTAGTCTTTTTATGTATCTGAACATTTACTAAAGTGCTTGGTGGAATTAACATTCTTAATATTTTTCTGGCATAAATTTTACATCCTTGGAGAAAACATGTAGCTATCCTATCTAATAAAGAGGGACTATGCTATTTGACCCTCAGCTATAGCAAAGATGGCGGCATCCACAGCCAGTAAGGAGGGAATATGCTAATTGACTGCCCTGCCCTCAAAGATGGCAGCGCCCGCAGCCACAAGATGGCGACGCCCAGTCCTGCTCTTGGCGCCTGCCTCCAGAGTCCCGCCTCCAGAGTCCCCCAGTCCCCTCAGTCCCCCAGTCGCCCAGGGCCGCCCGAGGCTTGCACTGCCAGCAATGGCAGCAGCAGAGGTGTGTGGGGGTGTCGCCTTCCCCTGATTGCCAGGTCACCTCCCGCCCCTGAGGGTTCCCAGACTGTGAGAGGGGGCAGGCCAGGGATTCCCCCACCTCCTGTGCATGAATTTTCATGGACTGGGTTCTAGTTTGTGATAATGTGATATACATAAATCATTTAGGTTTGTAAAAGGAAATGATTAAAACATACTAGTATCCTGCTGTTAAACTTGATTAAGTTCACCATTACAAACCTCATTGCTGACTATTTGAACTCTTTTCACAGTTTATAAAACACCAGTGTTTTAATATGCTTATTGTCATTTACTATAAGTATGTTTAATGGACAGATCATTTTAATTTTATTTTTCTATTAAAAAACTACTTGGAAATGTTGCTAAAAATTTAACACAGAGTTATTACGTAGCCTTATTTTTAATTTAAAAACATTTTTATGTTTACTATGCATTTTATTTTATTTTTTTATTATATTTTTTAAAAAATTGGTTTTAGAGAGGGGGGAAAGGAGAGACATCATTTTGTTATACTAATTTGTTGCACTCATTGGTTGTTTCTTATATGTTCTGTGGCCAGGGATCGAACCCACAACCTAGGTATATCTGGATGATGCTTTAACCAACTGAGCTAGCTGGCCAGGGCCTAAAATGCATTTTAGTGGTGGGCAAAAGTTTATAAATATTTAATGAATTTTGTGAATAAATAAGTTAAATATAAATCCACCTCATGTAAATAATCTATTTTTCAAATGTTGGCATTTTATAAATAGATTATTTACTGATCCACCCTACTGCAGAGCTAAGAATAGTGTTTACATTTTTAAGGGATTAATGAATGGTGGGAAAAAGGAATATTAGGGAGTATGTGTGACCACAAAACCCAAAATACTTTTACTCTTTAACCCCTTAACTCCCTGGGCAGGAGTGTTGTGTTGTTGTTGTTTTTAATTAGTACTCATGTTAGGCCTCAAAGTTTACTAAGTTGTTAATTTTTTTGAAGAGGAACCATATTTAAAATAGTATGTAACAATGAATTAAATCTTTGGGTGAAGATAATCTTTGTTCTATTTTTAGATCTCTGATATTAGAAATTATGAGCAGACACAATTGTTGTCAATTTTGTTTAATTCCTAGCTTCCTGATACTTGTTAATGTACACTAATCAAGCACTAAATAAATATTAGCAAAAGCTCTATAGGTCTTGACTATTTATGTTAATGGAGAAAACATTGAGGCAATTGTTTCAGTTATTTTACATTTACTTTGAAAACTGTCTTTGGAAAAATTGTTAAATAATTTTAATGTTTGTTTTTGTTCTTAAAAGCCTTGAAAATTAGGCCTTCTTATGTCCTTTCTCTTTTTCACTGTTCAGTTTAAAGGAATGAAATGGTAAGTGTTCAGCTTGCCCACATAATAAGAGTAAAGAGTAAAGTAGATTTACTTGTTTTAAGATGCCACCTCTGATTTCTTTCTAATTTTTCTCTTAGAAGTATTCCGGAACAACTAATAGTATGGGCTTTGAAGTATAAAATAAATACTTTCGTATTTTGTGTCTTTTTAATAATACTTTTTAAAAATGGAACAAAAGATGAGAGAAAACATCTATCATGCTTGGTCATGCTTTTTTTTTGTTAGCCTTTAACTTTTTCATGATTTTATAGTGTAAATGTGAATATATTTTTCAAAGTTTTAAGGCTATGTCAGTACTTCTCACTTAGATGTTGTCATTTTTATTTCATATCTTATTTCTCCTTAAAGATAGTCAAGCTCTATGATAAAAGCTCTAGTAATTATAAATTAAACATGTTATTTTTCACTCCTGTAGCATAATGTATTTTGACTACCATAACAATGCATATATTTTTATGCTATGCCTTCATTACATTTACTTTTTATCGTTATTGTAGGGTAGAATGTATTTGAACCATATTTTAGATACTATTTATGAGGTTCCAATTTTCTACTTAGCACAGTTTTA